TTCAAAAGGTTTTAAGAATAGTCATCTTGTTTCTGTAGCTAGAAGTTCTTACTCATCTGTTTACTGAATTGTTCTGTGATCAGGACCATACTCTCAAAAAAATTTCTCATATACTTGTTTCAGATACATTTAATTCAAATACATTATTGTTTACATCAGTAATTAACCTACTTTTATAAGCTTCAAATACCGAATATACAATTCCTGGCCTCATCCAACCTTACTAAGTATATTTTTCATTCAAAAAATTTTGAGTTTCAAGAGACCTTTCTGAAAAACTCTTGGTGGTGAAATGTACCAATGTACCTCATCTTGTAAAAGAAACCCAGTTTCATGACCTTAAACATGTTTAGTACATGAGTACAGATAGTAGAAATCATAACCAATTCCTTTCTTTTCTCACCCCACACTCTTGACAGGCTGGGCCCTCTTTTTTCTCCTTTCCAATGTAGACTGAGTTCTACATTGATACCTGGGTGGAGTCCCTCCACTGAATTCTTCTGGGGCCCCTCACAGTAACTGTGTGTCCCTCCAGAGTGATGGCACCATTTTCTACAATGTTGACAATCTGGTTATGAAGAAAAGCCTTCATTTGAGCAATAAATGCAGCCTGTAAAACAGCATTTTAATTGGATACTATAAAGTGAAAAATGAAAGTGGCTGCACAGACATGTAGTCTAGTTAGTAAGAATAAAGATTTAATCCTCTTGCTTTCAGAACATTTTTTTTTCTTTCCAAGATAGGGTCTCCCTATGCAGTTCGGGCTGGTCTTGAATTCCCTTTGTAGCCCAGGCTGGTCTCAGACTTGCAGCAATGCTTCTGCATCAGGCTTCCAAATGCTGAGTTCACAGATGTTCATTACTATGTTCAGCTACCATCAGAACTCCTGATAACACAGTACTAACAATACTTTTCATTCCTTCCTTGAAATATAATTACTTGTTTTTGGTTAAATTCTCACTTGTTTTTTTTTTTTTTTTTTTTTAAGAAAAGGAAACAAAAAAAATACATGGAGATAAAAAAGGGTAGAAATAATATAAAATTACAGAAAAACAAACGGTAAGAAATTGCCAGTTGGTAAGTTACATATTGTCATCTTAGAAATAGCTGCTCAGGTTACAGAATTAAAGTATTTAGAATGACATTCAAAAAGTGACACTACAAACAGTTCTGCTCAATGATTGAACAAAAGCTCAGTAATATGGTTATCAGTCCTACACATTTCTTTTACATCTCAAAGAGGGTAAGATTAAACATACCAAAACAGAACAAAACAGTTAAAAAAACAATTTAAAGAAATACAGATTTCAAAGCAAGTCCACTGGACATCTTCACTGTCTATCTAACTGTCTCCAGTTTCTTACAAATAGTTGTCCCCATCTTCACCCACTTTATATACTTATTGCATATTATAGAACTAATCAAATCATTAAAGGATGATGAAGGCTTTTTAGGTCTTCAAGATCTAACATTAGGGAAGACAATAATAACCACCATCGCATCTCTCATTCTCTTTGTAATAGCTGTCCCCATCTCTACATATGCTGAAATTGAACTCAAGAAACCAGTCCAATGTCATTCTAATCAGTGAACAATAGTATTGCTAGAATTTATATCATAATGCTACAAAATTAGCCTCTGGTTTCTTAGCGTCTCTTCCTCAGAGTATCTGTTCATTACAACCTGCATTATATAATCTGTTCCCGTAAATAATTGAAAAAAAAACCCATGTGTGAATTTCTACATATATATCTATCCTCTCTGTATTATAGGGAAAACCAAGTCGTAGCAAGACTGCAAAACAATTTCCTAGAAAAACATGCAATGGGTAAGACATATAAGACCACAATATAGATGATCTTCCGTAGTTACTATGTTTTCTCTTGTTATTTTCAATAAATTTGTCCACAACACCGGCTTATTATAGTTAAACATAGTATTACCTATTTTTATAAAAACTTAACTTTGAAAGCATTGTAGGATTTGAGGGCTGTTAATAGTTAATACCAGTATGGATATTCTTTACATCTTGTCATCTTCAGAGTAGTTGCCTCTACTTTTAGGGTTGATACCAACAAGCATAACAAATTCAAATAAAATCAGCCAAGGCCAACCCATAGTCTTATGATTCAGATTCAATTAAAATCAGTCATAGTAAGACAATGTAAGTAATACAGGATTTCAGTTTAAGGTAATAGGAAAGTAAGGATAGTTACCATGGTATAACCTGCTATTTTTGGGTCAAGATGTCTGTGCCCTCAAATCTGACATGAGTGGACAGACCAGAACAAATTAAATTCAAACTAAATATGGTGATAAGACTACTGTGTCTTTTAAATCCTTATACACCATTAACAATGACCTCTGCCTTTTTTTTTATAGTGTTTCAGAGCTGTCTATACTAAAGACTATAGCTTACCGTCTCTGCCTCATGTTTGCTACTCCACTTTTCTGTTATAATTTGTCCACCTTATTCCCTCATTTCACTGTCTGCCCCGTTCATTGAGGCCTCTCTGCCACTGTTGTTGGAATCCTGGTATCCCTTCCTCTCTTTCTCTGTAATGTCCTTCAACACTCTCTGTAGGGTTGGATTGGTGGCCACGAACTCCCACAGTTCCTCCTTGTCTTGGAAGCATCTTATTTCTCCATTAATTTTGAGGGAGAGTTTTGACGGGTATATGAGCTTTGGTTGCATATTATTTTCTTTCAGGACTTGGAATATTTCTCCCGACTCCCTTCTTGACTTAAGAGTTTGTGTTGATAAGTCTGCTGTTATTTTGATAATTTTCCCGTTGTAGGTAATCTGCATCTTTTCTCTGGCTGCTTTTAATATTCTGTTCTTTTGGTGGATTTCTGGAATCTTGATTATTATATATCTAGGCGTAGATCTGTTTTGGTTGTAGGTAGCTGGTGTTCTGTATGCCTCTTTTATCTAGATATCATTTCTTTTTGCTATACATAGGAAATTTTGCTTTAATATATCTGTGAATATTCTTTGTATTTCATTTTTGGTTGCTCCTGCTTCCTCACTCACATTCTTTATTCTTAAGTTATGTATCTTTTTGTCATCTTCTAGTTTTTGAATGTTTCTTTCTAGTTCCTTGTTATTTTTAAGAGGCTTTTTCTTTCATGATCATATGCCATAAATCTCTCTTCAAGTTTCAGAAGGCTGTCTATAGTTTCTGTCAAGGCATTTTGCCAGTGTTCAATGGAGTTTTTAGTTTCCAGGTAATCTCTTTGGATCTGTTTCATGTATTCTAAGTTATGTTTAAATTCTTCTTCAGAAGTTTCTCTTTCTTTTCTGATTTCCTCAGTTCTTCCATCTGTGTTCTCTTGGGTGGGGCATGTCATTTCTTTAATTAATCTCTTTATATCTTGCCTCACTTGGATCAGGAGTACAGCTTTAAATTCATCTATGAGGTCATGAAGGTATTTTTTAATTTTGGCTGATGCTGTGTCGAGTATTAGATGGTTACTGTGCTTGTTCTCTTCAGTGTTTACTTCTCCTGGGCTTATTTTCTCATGTTGGGCAGCTGGAGATTTTTTTTAATTTTTATCTCTTGTCATGTTTCTGGTTTCTTTCAGACTGGAGTGTCCTGGGGGTCCCTGGCCCTCTCCGTATTGCTTAGGGCCTTTCACAAGCGTGCTGGCTTGAGTTTTTGCTGTCCTCCCCAATTTGCTGTTATCTGGGGTAGGCTGGGATGCAGGGGCGGTACAGGCTAGCCTCCAGCCTTCTGTGCCAGTCAATCTGTAAATTAGGCTGTACCTTCTGGATGTCACTGAGTTGTGACTATCTGTTTGTATCTGCTTATTGGGCCCCAAGCAGAGGCTTGGTTTAGCCCCAGTAGCTCCTGCCAGTTCTCCCTGTACCAGAAGCAGCTGACTAATGTCACTATGGCACAGGATTCTGCCCAAATCCCAGCTGTTCTCTTCTAGACCTCTCTGTGACAGGAGCACCAGGAGAGCAGGTCTGCCCAAATCCAAGATGTCTACCACTAGTTCTCTGTATGACCCTGAAGCCAGCACGGCGTCAGGCTCTGCCCAATTTCAAGATGTCTTCCACCAGACCTCCCTACAGGCGGTCTCAGTGATGTCACCGAGCTGTAGGTTCTGCCCAACTCTAAGATGTCTGTCGCCAGACTCTCTGTGTTATTGATGTCCCCGTGGTGGCGGGCACTGCCCAGTTCCAAGATGTTCTCTGGCCAACCCCAGCAGCCACGGGGTCCCCAGTACTCACCAGGGTTCGGTGCAGGTCCTCCTCTTGGGTCTTCTGCACACCGTGCCGCTCACCCTCCCTGCGCTCTCGGCACAGCGTGGAATGGTCAGAAAACTGCACAGCATTCGGCTTCGGAGCTCCAGAGCCTTTCACAACCTCCTCTGGTGCAGCGGGGCAGTCCTGGCTGCTTCTCGGGGTCCCAGGTCTCAGTTTCCAGCAGTCACCAAAAACCAACACAGCTTTTCCTGTTGGGTCCACGGGTCAGTTCGCTGATTTAAAGGCACGGGATTTGCAGCCTCCCGTTATCAGCCTTCACAGTCTCAGCACAACTTTAAATCCTCCAGCTGCGCTGTCTTGGTTAATAAGAATCGTTATCCATTCATCTGGCCCTCTCCATGTTGTCATATTCTAGCTTCTAATATGATTTCTCCAGAGAGACTCTCCGCCCGATCGCCTAGCAAGCCGCCATTTTCTAATCCCTCTCTCACTTGTTTTTTTAAGTGTCCTAAAACACCAAAAATAAGGTAATGTTTGTCAGTTTGTCAGTTTCATAATTTGCTCTGACACAGAGCTATTGACAGATTTCTGGACCATCTCCCACATGTGTACTCCTGTTCTTATCCACCCCATGCTTAAGTTCCATGTAATCATTACTAGTACTTTTGTGTTGTAAATATTAGGCTGCATGTTAGGCTTTTCTGCTATAGCTCACCTTTACATTGTAGGTGCATATTTCTGAAACCACCTAATAAGCCTGTCCTAATGACTTTTTACTCTTTTTCAGGTCCACCTCCTCAGACTTTGGCCTTTCCTAGAAAGAAGAGGAAATGGCTGAATCCCAGGTAAATATTAGATTGTGTCATTGTTCTGTTATACTACAATGCAAGTTAAGGGAACTATACCTGTTCATACAGAAAGTTAGAAAAGGTCATATACATAAAACATTTTAAGAGGAAATAAGAGTTAAAAGATTAAAACTAGAGAAAAATTAAAATGTGCCTATTTTATAAAACATGTTCATTTAAAGAGATTAAAGCTGGGATTGAAATCTGAATTTCATTTTATTTTTTTGGTACCAGAAATCAAACTCAGGTCCTTGTGCTTGCCAGGCAGGCGCTGTGTCACTGAACTATATCCCTGTATATCCACTGAACTATGTCCTTGAATTTCATTTCTATAAAATGAATCAGGACAGAAATTCATTGCTTAATTTTCATTGACACTTAGGTTAATGTAAACATTACAGTGTGACTTATAGTTGATAAATTGGCTTTTTTGTTGTTATTGATAGTTTGTTTTGAGCAAAGATAAAACAAAGAATATAGATCAAAATAGCCATGTGTTATACAAGGTACAAATGAACATCAAGAGAAAAAGGAATGTTACAGTATTTCATATAGTAGAATACTATATAACAATCAAAAGAACAGATAGTTACTACATGCAGCAACATGGGTAAATCTCATCAACAAAAAAGAAAAGCCAGAAACAAAAAAAAAAATGGTTCAATTTATATGAAAATCAAAAACTGACAAAACTGATCTATTATAAAGAAATCAGACTAGCAGTATTTATTGGGTGAGGGGAATATAATGGGAAAAAGCATCAGGTAACCTGGAATGTTGAAAACATTCAATATTTTGATTTAAAAATTAGCTAATAAGCTATATGACAGGTAACCTGGAGTGCTGAAAACATTCAATATTTTCATTTAAAAAGTAGATAATAAGCTCTGTGACTACAGGTGCCTGTAATCCCAGCACTCAGAAGGCTGGGGCAGGAGGATCACTGTGAAAACCAACCTGGGCTACAAAGTCAGTTGAAGGGTAGCCTGAGCTGCATAGTGAAATCCTATTGCAAAAAAAAAAAAAAGCTAATAATCGTTATCTGATTGTGCCTGTAGGATTAGTGCATTGCACTACATTATTCTATGCATGCCATCAAAAATTGAAAAGGAGAAAACTTAGGCTGTCAAAAGAAAGATTGGATGTGTCTTTTAAATAATGACCCTATGTAATTATTTTTTTCTGTGGGCATTTGCTACAATTTAAAGTAATCATTTCTGGTAAATACTAGACTGAACAAGGAGAGTGTTTTACATTACTTACTGCCTTATTTCTAGTCCCTGGAACAGTGCCTAGTACATGTTTTTTCATTGAATAATTGTAGTTTTAATGTATTGAGTCCACATTCCTTATTTATTAAGCCTTTGAATAATGCTGTATTGCCTCTTCAAGGGTAATTCTTTTTCCCCAGATCTTAACCCTTTCTTGGAAACTTTTTCTTTCATATTTTATTTTACACTTTCAGATATTGAGCATACCTTCCTTTATTGCCTTTTCACTCTAATTTACTGTACTGAAATAGAAGTGTGACCAAAATGTGTGGTGAATGTTTAAATTTTTATTTATTTATTTTTAAATTTTATTTAAGGAGAAAAAAGAAAAAAAAACAGAAAAAGGATACAAGTTATACAGAATTTCAGAAAAAATAAACAGTAGGAAATCACTAGTTAATTACATACTGTCATCTTAGAAATAGTTGTTGAAGTTACAAAATTAAAGCATATAGAGGGGACTTTCAAACAGTGACACTGCAAACAGTTTTGTTCAATGATCCAACAAAATTCAGTAATATGGTTATCTATCTTATACACTTAAATATATATGCAGTTATATCTTTTAGAGATATATATTTATCTTTTAGAGATATAATCTTTTAGAGATATATATTTAAGAGATATAACTGCATATATATTCTTTTCCTTTCTTTTGTACAATGACAATTACACATTTTGGATTTTATTACTCCCACAGTTCTTACTACTTTTTTTCTTTTTTGAAGAAAGTAAAACCAAATGTGACATACCAGGACAGAGTCAGTCAAATCAAAAGGATGGACATAATACATAATGTAAAAACAAAATACAAGGTGATCAACAATGGTTACCATAATGCCTCTTGTTACCTTAAAAAGAAATGCCTATATCATCAGTTATAATAAAATTGAACAAAACAGTAAAGAGTAAGACCAATAAAACCAAAATATTGGAGACATTAGAGGACTTCAAAAGAAGATAATAGTCAACCAGAATGGGCATCACAATGAATCTTATTGTCTTCATAGTTGTTGCCTATACTTTCAAACTTGGTACTATCAAGCATAACAGAATAGAGGAAAATCAGTCAAAACAAGATGGTGAGAGCAATACAGAGTTTCAAATCAAGTTAATAGGAAATCAAAGTGGGTTACTATAATATATCCTGCTATTTTTTATTTATTTTTCCCTTAATTAAAAGGATAAAAATGAAAAAGTAGATAATAAAAAGGAGATTGAGATAAAAAAAAAAAGAGGGCATAACAACAAAACAGCGCAGGTCAAAACATAGCCATTTAAGCAAAATAGTGTTTCACCACAAGATAATCTCGACATAATAGTAGTTACCATAGTGTCTCTTCCCTTAAAATCTTTGGGTATAACTTCGTATACTGTAGCATCAAATGTATCAAGACAATGTAAAACCATTCAAGAGAATGATGGTATTACAGGATATTTAGAATCAACTAACAGGAAATGAACAATGGTTTCTGTATAATCTCCTTGTCTATAAAAGTTTTTGTTTATATTATCACATATAATAAAATCCAATAAGATACAACATGTTAAAACCGATGGACGCGACCGCCGAGCTCTGGGAACGGGAGTCTCCGAACGGAGTCCCCACGCCATCGGAAACCGCGGTTTGGATTTCCCGCTGCCCGGCGGCCGGCTACCTCCACAGCGGCTCGGCAAGGAGAGACGCGACCGCCGAGCTCTGGGAACGGGAGTCTCCGAACGGAGTCCCCACGCCATCGGAAACCGCGGGTTGGATTTCCCGCCGCCCGGCGGCCGGCTACCTCCACAGCGGCTCGGCAAGGAGAGACACGCAGAGGCTCGGGAACGGGAGTCTGCGAACGGAGTCGGAAACGCGACGGACAGGGAGGAAGGCTGACTGGTGGCGAGGTGAGTGAGGAACTGACTCCCTACCACAGTTTGACTCCAGCGGAGGTTTTTCTGGGCTCGGGCAGTCCTGTAAGAGCAGGGCGCGGTGGCAACTGCAGCCGCACATTCCCCTCTCGGACGGGATTGGTGAAAGGTGCCTGGCCGGAGGGACGCTGCTCGCGGACTCCCTAGGCTGGCCTAACCCAGATCCCAGAGCCTGACGGTGGCCCGGAGGAGCGACTGACTCCCGCGTAGGCTGCCTCCTCCGTGACTCCTTGGGGCGCAGCGGTGGGCGGGAACAACTAGCCAGCGCAATTTGATCAGGCTGTGGCTGACAGGCAGGGAAGCCGGACCTCCTGTGTAAGATTGCATTTTATAAGGAACAGAAAATATGGGGAAGGGAAGCAACAAAAAAGGCTCCTCGGCCCCCAATCCTGAGAATCAGGCAATAGTGGACACTGCACCAATATACATTAAGCGCCATTTAGAGAGCCTCATAGACTAATTCAGAAATGAAGTTATCAATAACCTGAAGCTAGAAGTATGCAGAATAGTTAGAGAAATGCTAAGCACCACCCAGGAAAAAGCAGATGGTGGAATGGAAGAACAGAAAAAGAGGGGAGAATTGCTTGATGGAGAAAACAGAGAAAGCATTGAGTATGTGAAGCAGGTGCAAAGGGACTATCAAGACATTAAGAAGTCTACCCAAGACTGGCATAACAGCTTGAAAGAAGCTAAGGACAGACTATCTGAATTGGAGGGCAGACTTGAAACATGGGAGAATGAAATGAAAAACTTCTTAAAAATAACAAAGAAACACACAGCAATAATACAAAGACAAGAAGATGATAAGAGGAGCCATAACTTAAGGATTAAGAACATAAAAGAAGAAGTAGGGACACAAACAAGTGAACTACAAAAACTACTCACAGAAATAATCCAGGAGAATTTTCCTAATTTAGCAAAAGGTAAAGATACTCAAATGTATGAGGCATACAGGACCCCAGCTACCTACAACCCTAACAGAGAAACACCCAGGCATATAATAATAAAAATTCCAGAAATTCAATACAAGAACAGAATATTAAAAGCTGTAAGAGACAAGAAACAGATCACTTACAAGGGAATACCCATCAGAATTACAGCAGATTTCTCTTCACAAACCATCAAATCACGAAGAGCGTGGGGAGAAATAATTCAAGCTTTGAAAGATAATAATCTCCAGCCAAGACTGAGATATCCTGCACAACTGTCCCTGGAAATTGATGGAAAAACGAGGTGCTTCCAGGATAAAGAGGAACTGGGGGAATTTGCAACCACCAATTCAACCCTACAGAAAGTATTGCAGGATATTCTAAAAAAAGAAAAATACAAAGAACCCAGTAATAGGGGTGGGGAGGCCACAACGAATGGAGCAGAGAACAAAATGAAGAAGACAAACTGACAGCTACTGACAGAAAAAGAGCTCAACAGAAATGAGACAGAGAAGATTGGATGATAGGAACAGCTTTTCTTTTTTTGGAGAAAATGACATCTTAATAGGTAATGCTGATTTAGTGCCATCTTGTTTTGAAGTCTCATCTAGCTTTTGTTCTTCTGTCTCCAATGGTCTAAACAGGTTGTATCTTATTGGATTTTGTTATGTACGATAGTATAAGCAAAAACCTTTTAAGGACAAGGAGATTATACAGAGACCATTGTTCATTTTCTGTTAGTCGATTCTAAATACTCTATAATGCTGTCATTCTCTTAAATGGATTTACATTGTTTTAATATACTTAATGCTACAGTATATGAAGTTGTACTCAAGGACTTCAGGGAGGGAGTCAATATGGTAACTATTTTTGGGTCAGGATTATC